TTTTTCATTAATGTATAGTAAATTTATATTTAATTTTTATTTGTTGGTGTCTTAATTTGAGCTGCTATAATCCCATAGCAGCCTTAAATAGATAATGGGTGTAGATAGAGAGTAAATATAAAAAGCATTACGTAGCAAATTGTATTTAAATTTTATATTCTGTTTTTCAGTATGATTATTTGGGCTCTGATGATGTGATAGTAACAAATAGAATCTTCGAAATTATTGGCCTTGTAAATTTGGTAAGTATTTTCCTCCTCATACTAGTTAGAAAAATATTTTGTAATAATAATTTAGATTAATTTGATCAGGAATATAAAAAATAATGAAGTTATCCAAAATACTAAGTATAGATTTATTAAAACATTGAGTTAATTTCTAGGGCAATATGAGATGACATAAAGATTAATTTTGCATGTATGTATCTCTTCTGTTTTTAGATCTTTGCACAAATTAAAGTCACTACTGTACTGTCATCATTGGAGTTGTGGTCAGATAAAAATAAGATTTCTACAGATGGTGAGGCAGATGAAATATTGCATAGATTTTTGGAATGGAAAAAATTCTATCTTACCCTAAGGCCCCATGATGTTGCATACCTATTCATGTAAGAATAATGTTTCAGTATTCCTAGAAAGAAAATAAAGGTCTATGATAACTATGTAGCTTAACATAGGGAATTGTTATTTACTTCTTATGTTTTAAATTTTGATTATTCATTATGTGCTTTATTTAGGTCTTGTGCTTTTATTCTTGTCAGGCAATAGGAACAGATTATTAATCTTTGTTCTTATCCTTTGACCAAACAGAAAATCAAATATTCAGGAGGTTAAGCCATTTCATGATTTTTGACTCTAGTTGTGGATCTAGAGTTTGAAACCACTGCTTGTAAATTCAGAATACATATTGTCAACTTCTAGGCAAAGAAGAATTTGTTTTGTGAAGTGTAGAGTTTTGTTACTAGCTAATGAGTTTTCTACATTATTTTTAAATGTTAGATTTCTACTGATCGACTATAATCATAGTTAATTATTTTACTCAGATTGAATTTGTAGGTAATAAACATCAGAATGTTTTTCAATAAGTCAATGTATATGCTTTTAAGTTATATGTATATATTAGTATTTCTTTATACACATCTTTTCTACATCAATTCTAGCAATAAGTATTACTACCTTTTTATTTTTTGCCAAAATAATGGTTATTAATTGGTATGTTTCTGACTACCAGTCAATTGGAGTATTTTTTCATGTTTGTATTGATAATTTAAATTTTTCTTTCAGTAATTATTTTTATCTGTCATTGAATTAGTTCCTTGCAATTTGTTGGTTTTTTAAAAAAATTGATATTTCTCTTTTCTTTTTGTAGCTTTTCTTAATTTTTTTTAAAAATCTGGAATGCTTCACAAATTTGCATGTCACCATTGTGCAGGGGCCCTGCTAGTCTCCTCTGTATTGTTCCAGTTTTAATATATGTCCTGCCAAAGCGTGCACTTCTTATTGTAGTTTGGATGAAATTTTGCAGAGCAAATTAATTTCCATGAGCAATTTATTAATATTTCGTCTCATGACACTAAGCGCCTCAGCGTAACAGCGTTCCCCCCACTTCCTCATGACGTCTTCTGTTGCCGTTCCTCCTTCTGCCTTGGCCCT